ATGTTATACAAACCAACAAATATAGGAGGGCTATTGTCTCCGAGAAGACTTCTGGCAGTCCTGTCTCAGATTCTAGAGTTTTTGAAATCATAGTGTTGTGCTTGTGTTTAACACCGACATTAGCAACAGAGAAATGTATAGAGAAAAAAAATCATTATTGGTTAATACCTCTCAAAGTCAAACACACCCCCTCTGCATCTCTTGAAATTGCATCTTGAAACTTCAGTCTCTTTAGGTATTGAGGGTTCAGCAAAACAAAATGAGCTCACCACTTAAAATGATAACACAAAAAACTGTTTAATTGGCTTGCTTAAGCCATAGCTAATTACAGCAGATGGTATCTGCTGGGAATAGGAAACCTATGAGAAGAATCTTTTTGCTAGTTAGAGTAATATGAATAACAGGAAGCCACTTGCCAGCTGGTATTCCTCTTGTTTTCAGAAGTGTCCAGTGTCATCGCAGTCTGAATGTGCACTTCATTACTGCAAGTAAGCCATAAGGACATGGTTTGAGGTAACCTAAACAACAGGAGCAAAGGATTTTTCAGTCTGTCACAAAACAGTAGCATCTTATATTTCACAGCCATTCAGAAAAGCATTGTTTTAATTTCTATCTTGTCTTATTTTAATCGAACAGGTATTACTCCATTGCCTATTTACTGAGCTGTCGCCAAAGGGCATATGGATCTGAAAAATGAATAAAATTACTCACTTTATTCTGTGTTTTTACTTGGCGAAGTTCAGTGCACTCAGAATGTTGGATGTTTTGTTGGATACTGCTTGCCAAAATATATTTGAAGAAGAAAAAACTCTAAATTCAACCTTTTCTTTGCCTTAAGGGGGAACATCCTCTCTACCAGTTAATGATTTCTACTGCATACCTTGTAATGGCTTCTTATGACAGGAAAAGCTTGCATTTAGGAAGTCTAAACTTCTTGTCTGGTATATAATAGTCGAGACTCAGGGAAGACTTTGCAAAGTTGTATATTCTTTTTTTAGAAACAACACGAAGCCCAAGGACATAGACAATTACATTGCTGTCACAGTCACAGTTGGAGGAAAGAGAAAGAAGACGATAGCATCTGTTTGTCATCTGTTCTCTGTTTACTCCAACTGGCTAGAAGTAAGCAAGGCTGTAGTGATAAACTTCAGCAGTTAGAACAGGACTTACATAGGGGGCATAGCTTTCGTTGGAGTCGTGGAGGAGAGGGGCAAATAGAAGTAATAGCAGATTAAGGATCTTATCCCACTCTAATTTTCCTCATTTTCTTTTCTTTGTATGCTGGCAAAACAGATTGTAGTGGCTGCCTGTGGAAATCTGTCTTACCAACGTGCGAAGACAGAGAGAGGAGTCCATTTTCAGGACTCGGGTGTTCCCCGACTCCTGGTTGAAGAAAGTGGTGGGAAGTGGACAACAGCTGGAAGAAGATGGGTAAATGTTGTGGGATGATTGGCCATCCCAAAAGACAGATTTTGCCAGAGTAGGTCCCCACTCTTAGGGATGCTTTCCCTTACTCCCCCCCCCCCCATTACTCCTTCCCGTGGGATAGTCCTTAGAGTTTTGTGAAGGCACTGGGGTTGTCTGAACAAATGATATTTGGCAGTTTGAATGGGTTTTGAGGCCCACTTCTTTTTGGCCCTGGATAGTGGTCAGATAGGGGTAAAGTCCATGCTCATAATGAGCTCAGAATGGTTGGCAAAGCAATTGTTTAGAATCCTGGGATGACACATTGAGAGATTGAGGTGGATGAGCCAAAAGGCAGGTTGTTTTCAGGCGGGTTGAAGTTCATATATCCAGAATTCTTGAAACAGCATAAACAATGTGGGGCAGAGGGAGCGGAGCACTGGAGTGATGGGCAAGAAAGCAATTCACCACTGCAGTGCCAAACAAGGATAGAGGTCTGCTATCATAATCATGGCCTTGTTAGTAGAGTGTTAGAACGTGTGAAGGTAAATTGAGCAGGGATAGGAAAATAAATAACAACAATTCCACTGAACATGGGGAGTGTGCACAGGTGAAGTGAAGGAGGCTTTACAAGGTTACAGGGTTTTTTTTTTGGGGGGGGGGTACCCATTACTCTTTCTCCTTTCCTTTCATCAGAGAAGTTGTAGCTAGGGATGTGATGAAATCCAGGACCTCTTCATATGTTAAGCACCTGCTTCTCTACTCAGATAACTATTCACATAGAATTTATTTTAGACTGATGTAGATGGCCTTGAGCCCAACGCAAGTTGGTATTTTATGTGGCTTTGGTTGCTGCCCCTTTGTGGAATTGCTGTTGTCCGCAACCTTATTTTATCTCTCTGTGGCCCCATCTACACTGACTATTCAATGCAGTTTCAGATCGATACTGAAGAAAGTGATTTCACTATGTAGATGTGTTGGAAATCCTGGAACCAGTTTGAGGCCTGTATGGTGATTACACAAACCACAGAGCGCTGATGCACATTAAGAGCTTTCTTATACACAATTTTGTGGAAATTTGTTGCCTGACCATCACAGTTTGAAGCTAGCTTTGAACAGCATTACATTGTCAGTATAGATGAGACCTGTGCTGGAGCATACCAGTGCACTATTAGACAGTTCATAGTGTGTCATGGAAAATAAAATGGAAACCAGAGTATCAACCCACAGAGGAGAAAGCTGCTTGCTTCTCCTCTGTATGATTCTATTCCTTTTTTTGTATTTCATCTCTACCGGAGCTGGGAAATTATTCAGCACCAATTCCTCATCTCTGTTCCTTATAAGGAAGAGGGTGCAAGCTTGTTTTCTTCTGTCCTGGAGACTAGGACTTGGAGCAATGGGTTCAAATTACAGGAAAGGAGATTCCACCTCGAAAAAACATCCTGATTGAGAGAGCTGATCAATACTGGAACTTACTGCATTGAAGTGTGGTGGAAGCTTCTTCTTTGAAGGCTTTTAAACAGAGGCTGGATGGCCATCTGTCAGGAGTGCTTTGATTGTCTTTTTCTGTAGTGTAGGAGGTTGGACTGAATGGCCCATGTGGTCTCTTTCAACTCTATGATTCTATGATCTGTTTTCTGTAGGCAGACATTCAAACCTTTTCCTGTGCAGAGACACAGTGGAATAACCTAATTTCTGAACAAATACTCTGGATGACTTCTTCTTCAGGAGCTATTTTGAATCCATGATGCATGCAAAAACACATGGGATTGGCTCGCTTGAGAGCATGTAATCCTCTGAAAGCAAAAACTATTGTCCATTGCGGGAAGTGTAACTTCCTATATTAATTCAGAAACAAAGTGCTTATCTCAGACGTAAACTGTTTATAAATTACCAACTTAATTCATTGGTCTTCTTACCTGATTCTTTGAAGCCAAATTTCTTTCAGTTCATGACTTGTCCAGGAAGTCAGGACAGGAAGACACACCTTTTAAACCTAGTTATTGAACAAAGATAAAACCATTATATGTAAACTTCTGCTGGGTGTTTTGGTTTCCACGCAATCAGGAAATTAACATCTTAAATACCAACAGTGACCTCAGCATAGTATGTTGTACATGTTCAAATATATATTTTATTTTAAGGTCCCTGGATGTTTGGAAATTGACTTAGTCTCAGACAGTTTTTGATGAAGCTTATGCACCTCCTGTTGTGCTGATACAAATCCTGTACAAGGGAAGAGATAACGTTTATTTATTTATTTATTTTATTATTTATTACTTGCACTTGTTAACCGCCACTCTCAGCCCGGAGGCGACTCGTGGCGGTGTACAAAACATAGAAAAGACAACAATTTACAGTGGAACAAGACCATCACACAACATATAATCCTGATCCTAAACGTTGATAATCCTGAGACTTATGATTCTAAAGTACATTATACTGATTGTTCTGAATGCCTTTTTAAATATGTACTTTCAATAAAGATTTCAGATATATAACTTCCATAACAGCTTCTGCTGTTTCTTGCCAGAAAAAAATGCCATCAGCATAAGACAGCCTATTGAAAAATGATATGGTTCTTTGTCTGCTAGCTAGATTTGTTGTTATTGTGTGCCTTCAAGACATTTTTGAGTTATGGCAGTCCCAAGGCACCTTTATCACAGGGTTTTCTTGGCAAGATTTGTGAATAAGTTGTTTGCCTTTGCCTCCTTTTGAAGGTCAAGGAATCTGACTTGCTCAAGATCACTCAGGCAAATTCTGTGGCTTAATGGAGATTCAATCCCTGGTCTCTCTGATCTTAGCACAAAACTCAAACCGAACTGTTTGGTAGCTACTGTGTTCTATTTAAATTCCAGCTTTTGCTTAAAGAAAAAAAAGTTTTAATATGCATATATTCAAATCCATTTACACTTGATAAATAAAGTGTAAACAGAAAGGAAAGGTAGAAGAATCCATGATAAATATGGTGCAGTCCATCAGGGGAACACACATAAAGTTTTTGTTGAATGCAACAGGACAGTACATGGGCCTTATGAACTTGTTCCAATAGCTATTAACTTAGGGCCCTTCTACACAGCTTATGAAATCCACATTATCTGCGTTGAACTGGATTATATGGCAGTGTAGACTAAGATAATCCAGTTTAAATGAGATAATGTGGATTTTCCGCTTTGATAATCTGGAGTATCTGGCAGTGTAGAAGGGGCCTTAGGTCCCTTCTACATGGTTGTATAAAATCAGATTATCTGCTTTGAAGTTGATTATATGACAGTGCAGAATCAGATAATCCAATTCAAAGCAAATACATGGGTCCTTCCACACAGTCATATAACCCAGAATATCAAGGCAGAAAATCCCACAGTATCTGCTTTGACCTGGGTTATCTGATTCCATACTGCCCAATATTCCAGTTCAAAGCAGATAATGTGGGATTTTATTCAGCTGTGCGAAAGGGGCCCAATGTAGTATAGAAGGGCCCTTTGTTTCTGCTTTTCAACAGGAGTCTGTTACTCAAGAGTCACTCATTTGTTCCACAGGCTGCTCTCTTCTTGTGTAAAATCTTTTTGTGATCATGTTGTCTTTCTGTATTTTAGATTGTTCAATGCCTGTTGGCTCTTTCAAGAAAAAGAAGGTGGCAAAGAGGCTAGAGGGACACACGAGAACAGAAACACAGGCAGAACTCCAGCCTTCTTGTGACTGTGAGCCATTGAGCCTGAAGGAACTTCAACATCAAGACAGAAAACACTGCAGAATTCCTAAGAACTGCTCTCAGCAGGGGCAATGCAACACAGAGTTGAGATTGTTCCATTGCAATGAATGCGTGAATAGGGTCCCAGTTTCCCTTAGTGTGGCAACAGGAGTGTCTAGAAATATAGTAGCTGACCTTGAAGTTCAACAGACTAATAAGCAAACCATATCTGTTTGCCCTGCATTTGCTATTTGTCAAGGAGACACCTTCCCTTCATACAGCTCATGTGTACAGCAAACCAATTTGCTAGAGGTGACTCATCATGGTGGATTGCAAGAGCAAGAAATAATGCATGCATTAGGTCATAAAGAAGTGGACCATTACAAGGCTTCTGAAAACAAGGACATCATCTTTAACTCTTCCAGTTCTCGAGATCATTTTAATTCAAGTTTTAGCTTCATACAACTGTCATTATTAAACTTGTCTTCTGAAACAAATGGCATTGGATACCCATCACACTGTGGTGAATCTAAAGAGGTTCAACAAACATGTGGAGCAGAAAAAGCTGAACATGTTAATTTGCATGTTCTTGAAAAGGGTAAAAAAACTCCAGAAAAAGAACGGAGCACTTTGTCAAATAATATGTGTGGTGAAAACTACAAGGGTCTGGAAGAGACTGCAGAGAATACATTGCAGAATTGTGAGAGCCCCTCGCTTTTGCATGCAAATGCGGGATTTTGCTGTTCTACCGATTCCTTGGGTGAAGCATCTGCTGGTTCTTCTGTGACTTCAGGCTATGAAAGTAGTAACACTGGAAGTGATCATTGCTGGGATGCTCTAATGAAGAAATATGAACCAGTGCTGCAAGAGTGCTTAGTGGGCAACCGTAATATATTAAAGGTTGGTGCTTTCTTCAGAACTATTTTATGTTGTTAAATGTAATGAATCAACTCATTGATTGTAGGGCACGATAATAAATAATTGTAGTAGCACATTTTATGGCATTTCTCTTTGTAACTAATAAATAGCTACTCACTATTACTTCCTTAGCCATCTCAGTTTCAGCCTGAATCCAGTTGTTTATCCCAACAAGAGCATGCCCATTGAACCTATGAAACTTACAGAAAAGTTGCTGTACCAAGGTTCTGTTGATTATGTGGAATGAGCAATTGGATTTAAGATCTAGTTTTCTGTTGTTAGCGCTCCCTTTTTGCAACTAGAACATGGACTCCAGGTCAAGTGGAGCAATCGAAAATGGACCAAAGGTTGTTCTACCCTGCCGTCAACCAGATTGCCACTGCCATAGTATATGAAAGTGCTATCACATCACTGTGGTTCTCAGTAGTGTCTGAAATGCCACTGTCCACCTCATCACATGGAGAGAATTTCACGTCCTAGCACGCTGTCAGGATGCTTCCTCCACGGAGCCAGCTGGATGCTATCACACAACAAAAGGCAATTACTGGTGGGCTGCATAGAGGAAGTGCCCTGGCAGCATGTTTGGACACTTCCCTGGGAACACAGGAGGCTTTCCATGTTCCATAGAGAAGAATAGGAGGAAGCTGGGCTGCAATGTTTATCCCCATGGGATGAGGTAAGGGGCAATGCAGGTGATGCGGGATGTGGGGCAATGGTTTCTCCTGCTGCCCCACAGATTAGGATTTTGATGTGACGAGGTCCTGTATTTGGGTATCTTTTGGTGTGTATTCAGCAGTAGTGGGAGCCAAGGGGATCCAACCAACCAACCATTATTATTATTATTATTATTATTATTATTATTATTATTATTATTATTCTACATTTATACCCTGCCCTTCTCACCCCAGTGGGGGACTCAGGGCGGCTTACAATCCATGGCATACAATGCCGCATTACACATATAATAATAAACATAACATATCAATTTAATCAATTAACATATCTATTCAAGCATACAATAATAAACATGACATAATAATTCAAATATAAATACAAAAAAAGCTTAAAAGTAAACATTCAATCCCAGCCAAGGTGGGCTGATGGAATAAGTGGTCAGAAGCAACAGGAGAGGCAAGGGAACCCCGAAAACGAGCACCCGCACAGGTGTTCCAATGTCGAAATGATGGACAGCGTGGCCATGGAGGCTCCCCCCCTCGCAGGTGTTCCGGCAGCCGGGTAATGGGTGGCACGGCCATTAAAGTAGCAGCGCAGCAAGGTTGCAGGGGCCATGTTCTCTCCCTGCTGGGTCAGCTGGCTGGAATGAGGGTGTGACTGCAGGTCTTCTCATGGGTAAGACCAGGGCTGAGATGGCAGCAAAGCTGGATGGCAATGCTTAGGCCCCAGGGTCCCTTTTGCAGCAGAGCCCAACAAAGCTCTTCCAGGCCTTTAGGTCAGACCTTTTATGTTCTCTCCTTGGAGGCTGCTGGGTCAGCTGGCTGGAATGAGGGTGTGGCTGCAGGTCTCCTTGTGGGTAAGCCCAGGGCTGAGCTGGCAGCAAAGCTGGATGGCAACACTCAGACGCCAGGGTCCCTCTTGCAGCAGAGCCCAAAAGCTATATTTTGTGTTGAGCTTTTTCACAGTTTTTTGGCAATAAATAATTTGCAGGGGAGTCTGAGGATTTTGGTTGATTTTGAAAACTTAGTGGAGGAAGCACAAGTGGAGTTCCCAGGAGCTGCATATAGACTGCAGGTCACACTTTCTGCATGCCTATTCCTGACCCTATGGTAGACTTTTCCTCATGCCTTTCTTTGTAGTTTTGTCCATACGCCTTCCCTAATCATACCTTTGCTATTCAGCATTTTGATTGGTTGATGAATGAAAAACTCAGAAGAAAAAGGTTGTGTTGTCTTGATGATTTCACATTTTCATATGATTATACTTTGTCACACATAACTTTGTCACTCAAGCATTGGCAATGACATGAATAGCCTGAGTAAAGCATGTTGAAATTGACATATTCGCATATATGAAAAATTATATTGTAAATATTCAAAACTACAGATAGATGCACATAATTCTTTTAATCAATGCAGGTAAAATCCTCAATAAGAAAACTCCAAACGCTTCAGGAGAAAGCAGTAGCTGAGGATGATTATGAGAAAGGTGAGTCTTTTTCCACTACAGAAGTATTTTTGCTTGCTCCTATAACTCTCAGTTACCACTCGTGCCTCTACATGGGGTCTCAGGGTGAGAGTATAATAAACTTTCACCTCTTCGAAATCTTATGAGGTAGATTACAGAGAGAGTGGGAATGGCTTTTCTGAGGCCTCCCTTGCTGAGCCATTTGAATCCAAAAGAAAAATAATAATATTTGGAAAAACCATGTTATGCCTTGCTACATAAGGCTAATCACACATGACATGCAAATGTGGAGTGGAGCCTTGACCTTTTCCTTTTTTAATGGAAGAAAATCCATTTGGAGAGAGGAGATTTATCCTTCTTTTGCTTGTCACTTCTGTACTCTAGATTCTGCTCTTCTGAAACGGCTGTTCTTTATTTTAAAATAGCTTTGGAACTACATGTATATAACATATAGTTGACCCCTACATGGTTTGGGAACAACCAATCTCCATTAAGTAAATTAGATAAGCAATGCATCAAAAGGCAAGCTTTTCTTTTCTCTTCTTTTTGCAGTCACTATGTAAAGTTGCAATCAGAACTAAAGTCTGATACAGGATTAAGGGATTTGTGAAAGCAGTGCTAATCTGAAATCTGTTCATTTGCAGATCTTTAAGGGCACACACTGGGGATAACATGGATTTTGACTAGTTTCTCATCAGGATCTTTCATCAAAACACATCATTCAGACAGCCGAAGGGTGGGAAGTTAAAAAAAAATAGATTTCCCATCCTTCCTTTTGCTTCCCAGATTTTTCATTGTATCCTTGTGGGTGAAACTGGGATATTACTCTAAGACAGGAATAAAATGTGGTTTTATTTTTGTTGTGTATTTTCAAGTAATTTCCAATTTAGGATGACTCTAAGTTGAACCTATCATGTAGTTTCTTGACAAGATTTGTTCAAAGGGGGTTTGCATTTGCTGTCCTCTGTGGCTGAGAGTGTGTGCCATGCCCAAGGTTACCCAGTGTGTTTTCATAGCCAAGTATACATTCAAACTCTAGTCTCCAGAGTCACAGTCCAATGCTCAAACTGCAATGCCACACAGTGCAGGGCCAAAGGCTTGTCTGAAGTCATTCTCGTGCTGTGCTTTCTCTAGCATCTTTACTCATTCATCTGTTCTGTTGATCCTTGTGCTAAGGAGCCTGTCCTGTTTCTAAAGATCACTTCAACTGTATACCTATTAAACATGTCAGTTTTAGTGGAAACTATGCAATTTCCAGATCTCTCTTTGCACTTTCATCTGGGTCTTCAAGAGTGATAAGTATGTTCATGTTCTGCTGTTACGTTTCAAGATCTCATATAAAAAATTTAATTCAGTGGCGGAAATGTGATCCTTTCAATGTTAGTGGATGCCTTCATTCTCTGCCATTGGCTATGCTGGCAAAAGTTGATGGGAGTTATAATCAAACATCTAAATAAACTCACATTCCCCAGTTATTTCATCCTAACTTTTTACTGTGTGACCTACTTCTCGGTCTCACTTCCCATCTCTAAGACAAGTTTGTGGGACTGCTTTTTATTATTTTTTTGTCATATGAACAGTCTTCCCAAGAACTTTTATGAAACCCACAGTGTTCATCTCAAGGGAAAGCTTATGATGTTGAAAGCTAAAAACAGCAAGAAGAATTAAAATCCTGACCTTCCTTTCCCTTTGCTGTCATATCAGTTTCAGTTCTCTTTGCAGAAACTACTTTGTAGTTTAGGTGAAAATAGAAAAATTACACCTGGTGGGAAGTTAAGTTTCTAAACTAGGTGAAGTATGGAAAGACTACTTGTTTCCTGACTTCTTTGTAAAATACCTACTTAACTTTAAAGACAGTAGGTGTGAAGAACAGGTCATGTGTTGGGTCAGGGAGGAAATGGAACTAGCAGGTCTCTCAACAACAAAGGGAACAAATTGAAGCATATTTAGGAAGGCCTTTAAATGGAGAGACATAAAAGCGCTCACCATCATTATGAGCCTAGGTGAGTATATTATACAATAGAGAATGAACATCCTGTTTTTTCTTTACTAATGTTCCTTGCAAAGCACCAGCCCTGATGTTATTACATGATTTCACTGCATATGGCTGAGGGCCCTTCCAGACAGGGCTTTATCTCAGGAGTATCCATGTTTGAAAAATGTTCCTGGGGGCCTGTCCACCGCCCCCCCCCGAAAACACACACTTTTTGGGATGGGCATCCAGATGTTCTTCTGGGACTGGCCTGAGAGAACACCTGGATACTCTATCCCCCTCCCCAAAATTGACTCTATCCCCCTCTCCCTCCTTTCTCCTAGCGTGACATTTTTACTTGCCAGGAGAGCTGCGGCAGCTCTCCAATGGACACTGGTAAGTACTTTTATTTTTAAAAGAGGGGGTTTGGGGCTTTTGGGGAGAGGGTTGGGATTACCACAGTTTTCCGGGCAAATTTAGCCCGGAAAATAATAATAATAATAATAATAATAACAACAACAACAACAACAACAAGTGCAAAATTCAGTGGCAGTAATGGGTGAGTAATGTCCTTGGGCTTTATAATGTCTGGATTGTAGAGCGGAGGGCCATGCTAAAGCGTATTAAAGGGCCAATTCTTTGGAATTGCCTAATCGAAGGCACAATGGCACACATGCTTTCTTGCGGAAGGAGGACAGGGTAGGTGACAGTCTGATCTCTTTAGGAAGAGCGTTCCAGAGCCGGGGGGGGGGGGCACCACTGAGAAGGCCCTCTCCCTCGTCCCCACCAACCGTGCCTGAGACGGGGGTGGAAGTGAGAGGAGGGCCTCCCCAGATGATCTTGGGGCTCATGTTGACTCAGGGGAAGATGCGATTGCGAACATAGGCAGGTCTCGAACCGTTTAGGGCTTTGTAGGTAATCACCTGCACCTTGAATTGGGACTGGAGACTTGTTGGCAACCAGTGGAGCTGTTTAAACAGGGGGATTGACTGCTCCCTGTAACTTGCTCCAGTTAGTAATCTGGCTGCCGATCTGGACTGCAGTCCAGACACCAGAAGTAGTAGTTTTATTCCGTGCCTTCTAAGAAGGTCCGGAATAAACCGACTATCAAATTAATTTGCCACAAACCAGGATTTTCTTGGTTTGTGGTGAATTAATTTGAGATTGTCCAGAACATTGTCTGGACAGCCCCCTTTCTATTGCGGAAGTTTCCACAATAAAGGGGCTGTCTAGATCTGCCCTGAAGCACTTGGTCTGTTGTGTAACATCTTACATGTAAGACATAATGTGTATGCATCTAATTAGGTTATTCTATTTAGTTTCTTCATCTCCCTTTGTGCTTACAACTGTGGATGGAATAGTATGTGGCTCTGTTAAAGGAGGGGCTTTTATGGAGTAGGATGTCTTCCATGCTATGAAATGCTGAAGGACAGACCATAGACTGGGCATGGGGAACAGGCAGCTTGTAACTATCTGGCAGAGTTTATGTGTTCTGTCCCTCCGCCTTTCTCCTTATGAAAAACCTCAATCACTTTTTCTGAATTATTACCCTGTCTAGATTTTTTTTATTGTGTCAGAAGCAACTTGAGATAACTGCAAGTCTCTTTTGATGTGAGAAAATTGGCTGTCTGCAGAGATGATGCCCAGGGGATACCCGGATATGTTGTCATCCTGTGCAAGGCTTCTCTTATGCGTAGGGTGAAGTGGTCCTATGCTTAGCCACAGCTGAAGGAAGCAAGATGTAGTTGACACTAATGTGGTTATATTGATACTTGGTCCCAAAACATAAGCTAACTATAGGCCAATAAAGATGTTTCCAATCTCAGGAACAAATTCAGTGGCTGACCTTTCAGAGCACAGGCTTATCTGATAGATGACTTGCATTTTTGGAGACTTGCTCCATCGTGGATTGAAACAATTTCAACCTTTTCATTTATTTAGAATTATATAGATTTTATAAAGACTCCAGAGCTTGGAATGATGCCTTTGAAGAGTGTGTCTGTATGTATTTTAAACCTCCATTTTTTGCTCATTTCCATAACTTGACATTTGAAGAGGATTGCATTAATAACATATTACTGGCATGTTGCTTAAAAAAAAAAAACACACACACACACATGCACATACACCCAAATACACACAGCAAAATCCTCAGAGAGCAAGATTTTAGGTATAATGTGTAGACGTTACTTGTTGCACTAAAATTACATTGTTACTGGCAGTTATTTTGCAAAAGTAATACTGCTATGTCTCATAACCTCCCAGAGGAAAACATTTTAGAGGAATTTGTTACTTGTAACACAAAATGTTCACATTTTCAGATAAACAATTTGTGTGTTTGGAAGCCCATCATCATCTGTCTTGTGGATGTGCCTAGTGACATAAGTAAGGCAATGCCATCAGACCTGTTGTGTTGTCCTTGTCCTTGCCACACTTTCAGCAAAATACCTGACACCATGTAATTAGCAAAAAAAGGTTCTGTTTGATCAATGGGTTATGTAAGTATATTATGCAAGAGCATTCTGCTAATTTATAGAGAAATTTATCTATTCAAAAGTGAGTTCCACGGAGTTAAATGAAATTTACTCCTAGGTTTGAGTGGACATGATTGCTGCCTTAGTGTAATTAATTACAGAAACTAGAGACTGCTGTTTCAATATTTGGTTAGGGAATGAGGTTCATGCCGAATGAAAAGATGAATGTATTAGTGGAATATTTTATGATTTCCTGAATTAGGATAATTAGTTGTTTTGCTATAATTATTATTACTCTATCAGTCTGATGAATCCAATGTCATTTTTGAAGTGATTCCAGATCTCCTCTTAATAATAAGCCTGAGTTCTTTTTTATTCTCTGTATGAGAAGTAATTTCTACAAGAATTGAATAGTTAGGATTTATGGTGCCTTAAGTTAAGCTCTATTTATTTTAGTGATATTATGGAGAGTAATTCTTGCCTAGATATAGGTGCTAATTTCTTGTATGTGATGTACATCAGGTAGTCAAACTCTCTTTCCCCCCAGTTATCTGGTCTCCATTCCCCAGATAATC